CTGGGATATTCATAGAATATCAAATGCTATCTGGGAAGCAACAACATGCACAGATGCATTTTTGAAGTGTTCATTTTGGTACTGCAGAAGCTTGTAAACTAAATAAGCGCAAAAACTGCTCGGATTAGACGTGAACCTCACCTCACATGGCGTGTTCTTGATGCCGCTCCTGATTTTGTAGGCCGCCGATGTGATTTCCTCAAAAGTGATCTTGACGGGATTTTCCGGGTTGCAAAACGGGTCATCCGACCGCTCTTCAGTTTCCTACATTGGAGGAAATTTGAAACGTTAGAATGGCGCTTGATTGCCTCAAACTTACATGTAAATCTCGACGATGGAAAAGCGGCATTTCGAAGGCCTGGCAACACGCACTGGATCGTTTTGGTGGGTTTAGGTTAAAGGTAATTGGCAACAAACGATAACGGATTCGATGAAAGTTCGCTGGGGTCTTCAGCTTGATAACTTATTGACCACCAACCAAAAATACGGATTATTTAGTACGTTAGTTACCTTTGGAGGATCGCAAGAGTACTCCATGGTGCACGCCAGCCACTGAACAAGCCACAAAGTTGGTTCTGGTTAATTGCTGCCACATTATCTGGGGCCGAGCGATTAAAATCACCGATAATCTCTCAAATTGACCATTATCATTAACTGTTTGCTTAATAAATGGAAAAATTAATCGTCTTCTATAGACTGTACAAATTTCAACTTAATCAGTCACCATTAATCAGGATTGGGTGAAATTTTATTGAGATTTTGCACGACTTGAGCCTGAAGTGTTTTCTACAGACGGCAAAAATTCCAAGTTTCTGCTCGCCCTAGATTAGAAGTTAGGAATTTTTGAGGCAAAGGGTGCTTTTGGGTAAAAGCGTTTATTTTTGAGCCAGCATTCACTAAGTCATCACAAATCGGGATTCGGTCCCATTGTAATGAAATTTTCCAGACTTTGAGACTGAAGTGTCTTCTGTAGGCTGTAGAAATTTCAGGTGGCTGTTCGCTCTAAATTGAGGTTACGA